GTCTTTCCAGCTTTTCAAGCAGCAGTGCTTGTCTCAAATACAGTTGACCCTTGAACAATGCGGGTTTGACCTTAACGGGCCCACTTATGCACGGATTTTTTTCAATTAGCAGCCCTCCCTCTTGGCAGGTTCCGCATCCAGAACCAAATGCAGATGGAAAATACAGTATTGGTGGGATTCGGAACCTGAGTATACGGAATGCCAGCCTTTCCCATGGATGGGTTCTGGAGGTTAATGCCGGATATTGAATATGCTCGGTTATCAGTATACGTGGGAATCCTAGAACCAATACCCCTCAGTCACCAAAAAATCACCGTACTTTTTTTTCTCATTCCTTTCTCTTCTTTCTTACACAATCTCAGACATCAGCAAACTTCCCACTTTTTTTCTTTCAGCATCTGCTTGTCTTCCCATATCATTCCCTCGGGGGATGGAAAAGCAAATATGATTTTATTCCCACTGTGCAATCAATTTCTGTCTCTTCTCTTGCTCCTTCTCCTTCTTCTCCCTCTCCCTCTTATTTAAGCAGATCATACTTAGTTCTTGACTTAGATAGATGGTTACTATTTCCCCTCAGATTATGTTTCAGAAGCTGTATAATAAACTCAGGAATTTTCACTGTATAGTATGCTTTGTTTGACAGAATTATACATGTGAAAAAAATCAATCATAAGAAATTACACAAATCAATGGTACAAATGCCCACATACTTTTATTAGCATCACTAAGTGACTTTTTTTTCCTCGTACATATAACATGTATAAAAGAGTCTAAAGTAATCCCCCCCTTATCCTAGGTTTTACCTTCCACAGTTTCCGTTACCTGTGGTTAACCATGGTCCAAAAATATTAAATGGAAAATTCCAGAAATCAACAATTTATTTTTTATTTTTATTTTTTTAGAGAGAAAGTCTTGCTCTGTCACCCAGGCTAAAGTGCAGTGACACAATCACAGCTTATTGTAGCCTCAAACTCCTAAGCTCAAGTGATCTTCCTGCCTCAGCCTCCCAAGTAGCTGGGACTGCAGGTGTGTGCCACCACGCCTGGCTAATTAAAAAAAATTTTTTTTTTGTAACGATGGGGTCTCACTGTGTATCCCAGGCTGGTCTCAAACTCCTGGCCTCAGTTGATCCTCCTTCCTCCACCTCCCAAAGTGCTAGGATTAAGACATGAGCCACGATGCCTGGCTGCAATTCATAAGTTTTAAATTGTGTGCCATTCTCGGTAGATGAAATCTTGCATTGCCCTGGTCTGTCCTGCCTGGAATGCGAATCATCACTTTGTCCACTGAGTCTACGACTACCCACTAGTGATTTAGTAGCCTTCTCAATGATCAGACAGGTAACCAGATTGACAGTAACAGCATTGCAGTGCTTGTGTTCAAGTCACCCTTAGTGTACTTAATAAGGGCCCCCAGTGACAAGAGTAGTGATGCTGGCCATTTGGATATGCCAAAGAGAAGTAGTCAAGTGCTTCTTTTAAGTGAAAAGGTGAAAGTTCTCAACTTAATAAGGACAGAAAAAAATATGCTGAGGTTGCTTATATCTATGGTAAGAACAAATCTTCTGTTCGTGAAATGATGAAGGAAAAAGAAACTCATGCTAGTTTTGCTGTTTCACCTCAAACTTTATCATGGGTTTGGAGGTACGGGAAAAAACATAGTGTATGTAGCATTCAGTACTGTTTGTGGTTTCAGAGTATCCACTCTGAATCTTGGAATGTATCCTCCCAAGGATAAGGGGGAAAAACTGTATTAAAATATTGAACATCTGGCCTAAAGGTTTGGAGGCCAAAACAGTACTAAATTCATATGATGGTCAAATGACCATCTAGCTGTATGACATTTCTTTTTCTTGTATATTTAAAACTTTGATCTACCAAGAAATGTTTGCCCATTGTCCTTGTGCTAAAGAAAATGGTTTGACATGAAAGGAAGAAGGAGGAAATTTGTGATTGGGAAAGCAGAGGACACAACGAACAGTCATACCTGTATCCAGGCAGTACCGTGAGAACAATAACACAGTTTTACTCTGAATTTCTTTGCAAAAAGAATATGTGTTAAAGATAGCTCTTCTATTACAGTTAGTATCTGGTTTCCAGCCTGTAGTTGCTGGCACAACCTGGGTTTAAATTATGCTCTGCCTTGTGGTTTCTCTCTCAGTTGAGTGTTTGAAAAGTCATTGTTTATTCACGGTGGCTCGCTGTTACTTACGTCTCACTCCATAGACAATAAACTCAGTTTTTAATGACTCAAAGCCATGGTTCTAGAAACTGAGCTCTGTTGCAACTTGACAAGAGGAAATTTTTCTAGATCTCCTTTAGAGTTGGAGTAAATGACAATGGAATTTGATAAGTTTACTAGCTTTCAGAAATTTAATGAGTAAAATAAAAATTGGTCATCTGCCATACATTTATACTGCCTAGTTTAATCTTAGACCCAGCATCATATTTCATTTGTTATACTACTATTTGTTATGTTACTATTCAAACATTTCCATGACATAAACTTCATGGTGGAAAAAAGATGCATTGTCTTTTTAACTGGGCTCAAAAAGGTGACACACACTGGAAGGAATAACAATAGCCAGCCTTTCATGCTTTTAAGACATGGGTAATGATTTTGTGATATTCAGTCTTCTAAAATTTAATAGATGTCAAGTTATGCTGGCTATTTTTAATATTATTGCCAAGAATATCGAAGTATAATCACCCTTAGAAACCATCTCACCTAGCAGACTTGTCTTATTTCCTAGGAGTAGAGATCTCTTTTCCAAATACAATCTTAAATGGTATCTTATACATAAAACAGATTTTTCAAAGTAATGTTTGAACAGTGTTAAGTTTTATGACTTAAACTTCTTATGGGGTTAATTGATGAAGCAAAAAATTCCATTTGAATAACAAAAGGATTTAGTTTAAAAGGGCTTTGTCCTCCACCTTATCTGTGTTTGGCTTCATTTGAAGTAAAGTATTTTGAAAACCCTGAATTACATAGATAAGTAGCTGCAAGTGGTAACAGTTTATATTGGTTTATTTTACAAGGTTCACCCTAATCCTTAGGAGACGTCAGTTCTACAGAGATAGCAAGAATAGCTTTATGTCTAGGACCACAGAAGAGATAATTTAGCTACACAAGTTAATTAATTCCCTGCATTGTGTTAAAACCTGGTATGCAAAACTATTGATCTTGAGCATTATTTTTTTATCATAGCTAGTTGTTCAAATAAAATCAGATCTAATATTTACAGTATCCCAGAACTCTGCAGAAACCACTGTTTAAAAACTGCTAATCATACTTTCTGTAACATTGTCTCTATAGCATGAGAGTATAAATTCTGATTGTACTATTTATTTATTTTAGAAAAATAGTCAAATGTTAGAGAAAATGTGACAATATTTCACATTATAATGGGTTAGATTAGTATGAGTAAATTCTCATTTTAAAACGTGTTATGTTCTAGAAGTTTCAGAAATTAAAAAAAAAAAATCATTGTAATCAACATTACAAGTAGTTGCCAGCCCAGACCACAAGTTTTGTAATCTTTAAGTAACTGAAATGGTATCATTTAACTATTTTATGATTACCTATGCATTTTTTAGTTAGCTTAGTATTCTGCTAGATCCTAATTTTTATCTGATTTGCAGTTCTGAATTGGAAACCTTTTGTATCCACTCCCACTGTGAGATAGCAAAGGAGAATGAGGATTTTTTTATTCCCTGGTTTATTTAAAATTAGTCTAATATTTTTATCCCTCCACTGAAGTGAGCTTTCTCCTTTCTGAGGAAGAATCACAGATCCTAATGTTAGAAGGGAACTCTGAAGATGCCCCAGTTTAGTTCTATGCCTGTAGGTGAATGGTTTTGTAAAGCTGTGCAAAGAGAAAACTTTTCCAAAACCAAGCACAAAAAGCTGGATATTTAAAGGAAGTCTGTGGCAAAGCCTTTGGTGAGGCAAATGCCCCTTTGTGTGCCTGGCTTTAAAAAGCCATTAGAACTTTTCTTAGAGCGCTGTTTCCCTCTGATGAGGGTCCTCAGTGCAGTGGTTCCCCTTGAAGAGAATCCTGGTCTCCACACAGCACGTGGTCCTGGTCCCCCGTATCCAGAGTACCATGGCCCCTGGGTACTTTTCACTTGGCTATGCCAGGCATTCTTCTGTGGACTGACAGACATCTCTGGTTGGCACCTGGCCTCATATTAAATTCCACACAGCATTTATAGGCTGTTTGGCATCAAACTCAAGATGAGAACTAAAATAAAATGAGAGCATTATAATCCATGGTCTCTTGTGTTACTTCCAGCTGATGAGTCTAAGAAAAAACATGGCATGAAAATTGCTTGGGTCTTGTCCTGTTGCCCAGACTATAGTGCAGTGATGATGTGATCATAGCTCAATGTAACCTCGAACTTCTGGCCTCAAGCATTCCTCCTGCCTCAGCCTCCTGGGTATCTAGGGCTATTTTTTGTAGAGCTAGGGTCTTGCTATGTTGCCCAGACTGATCTCGAGTTCCTGGCCTCATACAATCCTCCTGCGTTGGCCTCTGAAAGCACTGGTATTACAGGCATGAACCACCATACCTGGCCTCTATTTTTAAAAAAAATTATGGAATAACATAATCAATTGTTTTATGTCAAAAATTATAATATAGTAATTAAGGCCCTGGGTTAATAGTCTGAGCCCACTGCTTGCTTGTGTAACATTATAGAATGCATAACATATTTATTCTTAGCTTCAATTTCCTGTGAGTAAGGTGGAGTTAATGATGGTATCTACCTCATTGGGTTGTTGCGAACTCTAAAGATAATCCATTAAAGTGTGTTAATAAGGTGTGTAGTAGGTGCTTTAGCAATTCTTAGTTGTTTTTATCATCATTTTCATTATTAATATTATTGTTAATCCTATTATGCCTAGGAAAGTATTACTAAAAATATTAAGTAAAGAAAAGTAAACATTCTGGTTTTTAATGCCCCTTCTTCCCTCCCCACCTGCACCTCTCTCTGCAGAATGTGACAAGTTGCGGCGGGATGGCTACCGAAGTTCTCAGTACTATTCTCAGGGACCCACCTTTGCAGCCAACTCCAGCCCACTCTGCGATGATTATCAAGATGAGGATGAAGAAACAGATCAAAAAGTAAGGCTTCTGTGTTCAACATGGGGCACTGGTTAGGTGCCAGAATACAGCAGGGACATACATGGGAAAACTGGTAAAATTGGAATAATGTCTACATTTTAGATAATAGTATTGTCCCAAGTTAGTTTCTTGGTTTTGGCAAATGTACCATGATTATATAAGATACTAACATAAGAAGGAACCGGGTGAAGGGTACACAAGGAACTCTCAATGCTATCTTTGCAACTTTTCTGTAAATATAAAATCACTCTAATTTCAAAAAAGTAAGGTTAGAATCCAAGGAATTAATTAAAGAGACATAAAATCAGTATATTTGTCCATTTCAAATACTCTCTTTTGGTTAGAAAAAATAAAGATCTTATTTCTGTTGCTTTGTTTTTCATATGACCAAGAACCCAGTTATATCACAAGGAAGAACTCTTAGTATAGTGGCAAAAGCCACTGTTTCACAAGTGGTGTTTTTTATATAGATTGGATATAAGCAATTCTTTTGCTTAATATTATTGTACTGGCCAATTTGTTTAGTGATGCTATCTTGCATTTGGGTTCCTTTTTCTCTACCACCTCTTGTGATATGCCCAGGAGAAGTATATTTTCTCAGTACTAAATGCCTATGAAAGGTGAAAAATGTATGGAGATTTTGATTTACATAGTTATATTTTTATTAAGCAATGTGGACTGACACAGGAATTACTTAAACAAGATAAGATTTGATGAACGTTATTTGGTTTAGAAACCATTTTTAATTCATCTAAAAACTTTCAGTAGAATGAGGTCAATATGTAAATGGCTTATTGAAAAACATTATTTAGAATTTATTATACTCTCCATCAAATAGGTAACTTCAGAGAACAAAGTTAGATAATAGTTGATCCAAAAATGGGAAATTGCTACCTTAAAATTTTGGTCTTCAATTGAATATTCACCTAAATTTTTTTATTCCTATTTTTTAATTTATTTTTAATTGAATACTCATAATTACATACATTTATGGGATGCAATGTGATGTTTTTGACATATCTATACAATGTAGAATATTTAAATCAAGCTAATTAACATATCCATCACCCTCGCTTACTTATTATTTTTATGGCAAGACATTTGAAATTTACTCTTAGTTATTTTGAAACATACAGTACATTATTATTGACATAGTTATCCTGCTGTGTAGTCAATCTCAAAACTTATTCCTCCTATCTATCTTAAACGTTGCACCTTTTGATCAACAACTCCATATTCCTTCCCTCCCTACCCAGATTTTTATTACAGAATGTGTTTCTTATTTCTTTAAAGGTATTTTTACATATTAGATTTGTCCTTTAGACTTTAAAATATACACAGACAATCTCTTACTATAATGGGAAAAGCAGCTGTTTCAAAATTGGTCTGATCGTTAATTTTGAAAACTTTTATTTTTCTCTTGTTGGCATGGGTAAGGAAAATGAAAACCAGAAGGTGAATTGTATAGTGAGACTTTTGTTTATCCAGATAGACCTCAGCCTTACACTGATGCTCAAAGAAGGAAGAAAAGTTTATAGCGGAACCCAGTAAGACAAAGATGATTTCTGTGTGCAGCATGATTGCACAAGTTGTGAGTATCCAAGAGTATAGAGTCCCTGGTAACTATAGAGTTAACTGGTAACTATAGTATAGAGTCCTTGGCATTTTTGTAACAGCATCCTAAGATCTTCTGGAAAATGGAAAAACAGTTTCCAGATTCTCACATAACTATTTATTTACCATGACATTTTACTCTATGGGAAGTTAAGCCTCTGTGGGCTCATGCATTCAACAATTTATTGAATGATTACTACTAAGCAAATATTGGCCCTGTGGCAGAGTCTTTATTATTGTTTGTGACCTTTGCTGGACTTCTCTAGATCATGGTGATGCACTGATGAACCCAAGCTGCACAGCCACCAGTGGCTGTCATTTGGGACCCAGAAACATTCCTTAACCCTCTTCAATGTGTTACAAAAAAGAGCTCCTTTAAGCACAGAATTGTAATTCATTTGTTTAAAAAAAGTACTTCTTGACCGCCTCCTGTGTGCCAGGGACTATTCTAGGTATTAGAGATGTAACAGTGACCCAAACAAACGAAATCCCCGCCCTCAACAGAGCTTTGAATTCATGGGGAGACACTAAGAACAAATGCAGTCATGCACAGCTTAACGCCAAGGGTATGCTCTGAACAGTGCACCATTAGGTGATTTCATCATTGTGCAAATATCATAGAGGGTACTTACACAGATCTCAGTGGTACAGCCTGCTGCATGCCTGGGCTAGATGGTGTAGCCTATTTGCTTCTGGGCTGCAAACCTCTGTAGTAGGTGACTGCACTATAGGCAATTGTAACATAATGGTAAGTATTTGTGTATCTAAACAGAGAAAAGGTATAGTAAAAATATGGTATAAAAGATTAAAAATATGGTGCACTTGCATAAGGCACTCACCACGAATGGAGCTTTCAGGGCTGGAAGTTGCTCTGGGTGAGTCAGCAAGTGAGCGGTGAGTGAATGTGAAGGCCTAGGACGTTACCGTGTGCTACTGGAGACTTTATAAACACTGTACACTTAGGGTCTGCTAAATTTATGAATATGTTTTCTTCATTAATAAATTAACCTTAGCTTACTATATCTCTTTTACTTTATGAACTTTTTAAATTCTTTAACTTTTTGACTCTTATAATAAAAGTTTAAAACCACTCATTGGATAGCTGTATAAAAATATGTGCTTTCTTTATATCTTTTTTCTAGAAGTTCTTCTCTATTTTTTAAAATTTAAATTTTTTTTTTTACTTTTTAATCTTTTTTGTTAAAAACTAAGACACAAACACACACATTTGCCTAGGCCCACACAGGGTCAGAATCACCAATATCACTGTCTTCCCCCCACATCCTGTCCCACTGGAAAGTCTTCAGGGACAGTGATATGCACAGAGTTGTCATCTCTTATGAGAACAATGCCTTTTTCTGGAATACCTCCTGAAGGGTATGCCTGAGGCTGTTTTACAAGTAGAAGGAGTAAACTCTAAAATAGTGATAAAAGTATAGCACAGTAAATACATAGAGAGTAACATAGTTGTTTGTTATCTTTATCAAGTATTATATGCTATGTGTAATTGTATGTGCTACACTTTTATATGACTGGTAGCAGTAGGTTTATTTAACACCAGCATCACCACAAACATGGGAGTAATGGGTTGTCCTATGGTGTTATGACAGCCACAACATCACTAGGCACTAGAAATTTTTCAGCTCCATTATAATCTTACGGAACCACCATTGCATATGTGGACCGTTGTTGATTGAATCATCATTATGCAGGGCATGACTGTATGATCTTGCTATATTAGAAAGTGGCATGTGCTGTGAAGTAAAATAGATCAGAGGGAAGGGCGGTTGCAATTTTAAATTAAAAGGACAGGCTTTACTGAGCAAAGAGGTGAATGGAATTAAAAAAGTGAGCTGTGCAAAAATGATGCATTTCTGGAAGAATATTCCAGAAAGATGCAAGTGCTGCAATAAACGTTTTTGGAGATATATGTTATATATCAGATACTACTAAATGCAAGATTAATAAGATATCTATACTTGCCTTAAGGAATTTACAGCTCTCAAGAGTAGGGAGAACTAAGTAGAATAAAAAGTTTTATGTATGACCTGGTACAATAAGTGTTTGGTATATAGTAATATGTGAAAAAGGAACTCTTCTTACTTGGGCAGTCAGGAAATGGGCCAGGGATTAGGAGAGAGTAAAGTATGCAAGGAGACTAGGTATAGGACTTACAACAGGCATAAGGTAACTAAGGACCTAGAGCAAAAGAGTAACCGTGTGAATACTGAGGAAGGGGGTAGTTAAGAGGTGGTGGCATCTAGGAGTTAGGGGACCAGTTTCAAGCCTGTTGTGCTTCTTTGGATGTATCACAGGCCCTTCAGGGCATTAATTTCCTTATGTAGAAAGGGGGAGTGGAATAAAATTGCTGTCTGCAATCTTTTTGAACAGGCCCTTCATTCATTCATTTGCTCAGTAAATATTTATTCAGCACCTCCAATATGCCAAGCATTGTTCTGCGTCCTGAGAAGCTGTCGCGTGAACGAGACAAAGTCCCTGCCATCAAAGGGATGGTGACCAAACAAGCATAACATTATGCCAGGTAGCGATAAGTGTTATGAGGAGAGTTCTAGAGTGACAGGACTGCCATTTTAGATTAATTGTCCAGGAAGAACTCTCTGAGGGTCTTCATTAGAGCAGACTTCAAGGTGAAATGTAAGAACACCACATGTGCGAGGCCTGAAGACTGCAGCGTGGTTATCCTGTGTGAGAAACAGCCAGAAAGCAGAGCAGGTGGGCACCGGGCAAAGGGGAGAGAGGTTAACACTGCCTTTGGGGGAGATAACCAAGGGCCAGGTCACACAGGACCTAACCAGCCATGGTAAGGGTTTTGGATTTGTTGCTCCTGGGTAAGATGGCGAGTTTGCTGGGGAGAAGTTGCGCAGGGAAGTAACGTGGTCTGATTTACTATTTCATGTGATTTGTCTGGCCACTGTATGAAAATGAGGCCCCACAGAGTGGAAGATAGATGCAGAGAGACAGTGGGCTATGGCAGTCATCCAGGCAAGAGAAGGGCCACGGTGACTGGACCAGGGTGGCAGTGGGAGAGATTTCCAGGTTTGTTTTGAAAGTGGGTCCTGTGGAATTTGCTGAAATTATGAGACAAAGAAAAGAGCTAAGGATGGCTCCATATGCTATTTTCCCAGCATGGTCCTTCTAGCATCCCCATTACAGAAATTATTTGACCCTACCCTGTTCCTATCCATGCTCATCCTTCCCCAGCTGATATTACATGGGCCACCATTGCATTCACTTCTTTGCACACACATTCAACTCTGCTAGCTCCACTCCTTCTGCCACTTTCCTGGCAAAGTCCCAAGTCTAGTTTAATCCAGCTCTCCTCCTGCTTTGCGCCAAAGCCTGATTAGCTAAATGAGGCTGGAGAA